TAAACAAAACTTCGACTCCAATCGCATCCACTTCGGTGTATTATGCTAAAGAACAATTATTAATTAACGTATATCTCATGCGATAACAATTCACCTAAACCAATTCTATGAAAAGTTTTCACGGCGTCAATAGCAACGCCATACACATATATCATTCATAATTTGTGCTTTGACTTTTTTCCCACCACAAGGAAATTTTTCAATGAACCACTTTCTGTCGAAGAATGTCTTGATTCAATCGACTGAATAGATAACAAAAGTAAACCGCAACATTGTGCGGTTTAAAAAAAAAAAAAAAAAACAAATTCCAATAGTCAATTTGTGAGTCAATAAATTCCAATTTCATAGAATATAAAAATTAAAACGGTTCTGAATTTAAGGGATGCAATCTATATCTCCGTGAAATAATAAGTTGCAATCGATATTGAAACTTATGTGAAGTAACAAGCGATAAAAAAAAACGGCGACTCGCCATCTAACTGTCTTGTTAAGTGCAAATTTTAGTTAGTTCACAACTTGAAACTTCGAATTTATCAAACGAAATTAAAATGTCGAATATAGTGACGCGACAACCGTATTTTCGCATTTAAATATTCAACACCTGCAAATGCACTCGAAAACAGCTTTTAAATGCAACTAGTTCAATTTATGGAAGCTCATCGCACAGGAAAAAAAACTTTTAATTAGATTTGTTTCAGTAGTGAACAGTTTACTTGCCGCTACATATCTGTCTAAGAGATGTATTGCATCCCTTCCCACCCGAACATTTCTCACATAGAGACACACAGGTGAAAAAATAAATGAGACTTATTTCAATACCATATACTACTATATGTTTATGATGTATTTTTTATCGGGCTTTTTTATAGAGCAAGAGAAAAAAAGATGCGGTAAAATCACATCTAAAATTGTTTAACTTTTTTGCCATCATTATTCACGTATCGCATAAAAGTGATAATTTAAATATTTAATGAAACAAAAATCTTCGTTGAAGGATATACACAAAATTCAACATCTTAAGAAAACTCACACACACACACCCACAGCTGGCAAACTTGGAACTGAGTTGTTTAAAATTGTTGTGAATGTATTCACTAGGAATGCTTGAAGGACACATTTGGTTGTCAAATTTCTATTTGATTTAAATTAATAAATACTCGATGTAGCCAACGTTACAAAGATCAGACTCATAATAAAAATTGAATAGAATCAACTCTGCTCCAAAATTAACGTGTAAAAATATCAGTGGCAGAATTGTGAGTGAGTGCATTTTGGTGAAGGATTCGCCTAGGCAGTTATATAATTCACAAGTCCCATTGGAATTAATAAAATGTCATTGGTTAGACGCATGTATGATCCCTCTATTATTGACACAATTCCATATATATACATCAACTAAAAATGATGATTTCGAAACGAGAGCAATAGAAAAACAACGTTCAGTCAAGTACGGACATGCCGTATGTGTGTATATGTTTACGTACTGCACCAATAAAATAGATGTGAATAAAACAAAAACGGAGAAAGAAACAAGCTCATAAAATAATGCTCGTGCAAAGTGTCCGTGTATGAAGTGAGAATGTGTATTTTCGCACATTCATATCATTGGGGAGCCGTTGTTTTGTGCAAAGATCGCAAAATTCGTTTAATTCGGAAGCAATTCTCAAAACGAACACGCATTTATGACATGGAAATCAAGCAAAAGACAAACACAAAAACCAACCGATGTCCAAATGTTGTGCATGTTTTGAATCATCACAACTTCATTGATTTTATACGTTTTCTTCTGACACTTTGGTGGTTGGTCTTTCTCCATCTCGCTTTGATTGTGACCGGTCGGTTACTATTCTTTCTCGCTTGCTCCAAAGTTTCCAAGAGACCATTCAAAATGTTAAGTCAATGCCCATATAGCTTCGGATAAAACCGAATAAAATCACTTCATTATTATTTTAGGACAAAATCATCATCGTTTGTAATACCATCTAGATAGACATGATTCACTTCCATCTTTTTGGTTCACAAACAGCATGTGTGTGTGTGTATGCGTGTGAAATTTTATTAGTGTAACTGCGAGGACGTGTCAACAAAACGATTTTCTTCTTTGCCAGAAAAAAAAAGAAATAAACAGACACTTTGAGGTTGCTGCTATGACATTCAAATAAAATGTATGGCATTATTTTCGATAGTACATAGACCAACCCATTCACTTCTAACAGTTAGCTGTCGTTCGCACACTCATATCAATTCAACTCGATTCAACACTTACCACACAGTCAGACCAGAAAATGTTTATTTTATTTTCTAACCATCGCAATAAAGGTTTCAATGATCCAACTCACCAATAACACTGGAATGGATTTTGGAAGACGAGAAAACAAATAAAGTATATAAAACGGAAAATCAAATTGTCACAGTTGTCCGATTCGCAACATTCTCGCTCAAAAGCAATTTAAATAGACGAAACGAACGGAATGTTTTCGATAGCGAAAATTTAACTAAATTTTCAAGATGCATTTTGAAACATTGAATATAATCAGACAGACAAGATAAGATCACAAGTTTTAAGTTTTCTATCATTCACATTGCGAACGCAATTTAATTCAAACAATCTATACAAGTAGTGGCGTTTTTACTTTAATTCATTGTTATCGTACATACATTGCAAGAAGAGCCCATACACAAATACTTCCAATGAACATTGTGAAATGGATTATATCAAAGCACTATTAGAATGCAGACAATGAATAATAATGCCATCGACGTCTTCATCTAAAGAAATAAATGTTCGTACTTTTTCTCTCTTCCGTCAGGAATATCTGTCTATGCTTTTCGAATCTTTCCTCTACTGCACAAATACATTATGCGATCAAATGTCTTGCTATGCAAATAATAATGATGATAATGAACATGGAACACGGAATGCTGTCGACTAGTCGAGCACATTCCACTATTATATGAATTTGTTCATGCACTCGCTACAAAGTCAATATCATAAATATTTATTATTACAAGTGTCCAATACAGAGAGTCAACGATGAAACTGAGACGAATTTTAATGATTTTATCGATTTTACGAAAAATCGTGAAATTGCATATCTTTGTCCCGGTTTTATAAAGATAAATCAATATACGTTTAATTCATTTGTTTGCTTATGCAAACAATTTCATTCACATCTGAAGTTTTGTTACAAAACTATTTAATCAATTATTCATATACTGGCCTACTTCAACAATCAAAAAGTGGCAATAACAATTACCACAGAGTTAAATATACGTATCAATAATTCCAAGTGCAAAATAATGTATTTCATTTTCATTACGCAAAACTATTGCATAGAACTTTAACATTAGCCCGTTGCAATAATTGTTGATTTTTGTTGTTTCTTTGCCGCAGCCACACTATAAGTGCCTTTGTACAACAGGAAAAAGCCGCAGCCCAAATACACACACACACAATACAAGACTTGATTCGGTGGTAAGTGTGAAAATGTGGAACGCTCGAGATATGGGCTAAAGCTAATAAATAGATAACATTCTTTGAAGAATTTGAATAATTGTTTTGATGTTCGTATTTCCTTTGAATTCCGCCCCATTGCCAGCAATTTCATGCAAATTAAATTTAATTTGGTCATGTTAGGCGTTTGAAGTGTGTCTAAACGCTTGACGTATGTGATTTTCCATGCAAACCGACACACACAAATCTATATACGGCAAGAAAGAGATGCACGCGACCAAACGGAAAGGTTAGCAGATAGTTTTGCATCGAGATACTTATCGGCCAATATGTGTTGTGTGTCAGTGTGTTTGAGCTATGCAATGGATTACTCCAACTGAGAACACACTATCAAAACTTGACAATCTGTTTGCGGGCTGTTTGTTGCAGACTATTACGCAAACAATGTAGATATATTTCACTGCATTTTCAAGTCTATCATCATATGATACGATAGATTCACACTCAGGCCCGTTTGCTGTGGCTGTTGGTGTTTTCTCTATTTAAATGAATAAACACTAACGCTTGTTTCTCCATTGCATATTGGACCATTTAAATGTCACAATTAAAAAAGGCAAAGGCAACTGGAAGAGGAAAGCCAAATATATGACCCTTTGATCACAATTGAAGCAAAAGAGAACGTTCCAAAATGCATCCTATTAACGCTGATTTGGCATGGCCAATGAATTTGATTTTAAAACATTGACTCTTTTTCTCTCATTATCCCTTTCTAACTCTTTCATTCTCTTCTCATCGAACACACACTTCCACCTTGTTTGCAATTGCTTTAGTAAAATGATGATGATTTATCGTCCGTTCAGAAGCATAGTAGATGTATGTGTATGACAACGAAAATTCAATCACTTATTGAACCTAAACCAAGTCTTTCACATCCATGCTTACTTCATATCGAACAATATCAACGTTTATATAGTTATAGGCTGTGTGTTGTGTGTTTTACCACTTCTCCGCCCAAATTATGTTTTGGTTTTAGCCACTTTAATTAAAGTGTTTTCACTTGAAAAATTGACGACAGCACATATCGAAATAACATTATCACCATCGTATGTTTATTTTTAAAAAATCAATTCGGTATATTTCATCGAACTAATAATAACGTTTCCATAAGAAAAAACATTCTACGCAAATCTGAAATTTCCTCTATTTTAAAATATAAACACATGTACCGGCGTTTTTTTTGCCATCCCAGCTGAAACCGACATCAAGCATTGTAAACGTAGCATTTCATGTTTTTACACGAACTGTCATGCACAGTCAACATGCTAACCTATATCGTTTTCACCATACACCAACATCAAATACAATGGATGAACAAAGACAGCTACTTTGCTGTGTAGTTTCCCGCACAAAATACCACTGTACGAACAAATCACCGTCATACGTCCGAAGAGACCGTCATTATGTCAAAGCCTGTGGAACGTGCGTCGAAAAGAGACAACCATCTATGTCAATGTTTCAGTTTGAGCAGTTTGTTAGTTGTATATCGCACATCAATTCGCGCCAAAACAATAACGCATTTGTCATTTTAGTTTGAACGTGAAACAATCCACTGTTGATTCGGTGCTTGCTATTTACTGAACAAAGAAAACCAACGCTTGTCGATTTTTTTTATATATTTTTTGGTAAATTTCACTGCATTTCACTGATTTTGTGAATTCGTTCCATAGATTTACCAATTGCTTTTGTGATTTATAGAAGTTTGACCACACACGGAAAGAAAAATGTTTGAAGCACGCCTTACTTCGTCAGCTGTCTTAAAGAAGGTTCTCGATGCCATCAAAGATTTGCTCAATGAAGCCACCTTCGATTGCAGCGATTCTGGCATTCAGGTAATTAGAAATAAATCTTTGATTTGGATTTTTGTTGCTTGAATTTCACAATGTCATTTTTTTGTTGTTGTTGTTTGTAGTTGCAAGCCATGGATAATTCACATGTGTCATTGGTGTCGTTAACATTGCGTTCAGATGGATTCGATAAATTCCGTTGTGATCGCAATTTGTCCATGGGTATGAATTTAGCTAGTATGGCCAAGATTCTAAAGTGTGCCAACAATGATGACACACTCACAATGAAGGCACAAGACAACGCTGACACGGTCACCTTTATGTTCGAATCGCCAAATCAAGAAAAGGTACAAACAAAACTGACCTAGCACCATCAATGAAAATTGACACTTCTAATAAATGTTTTGTAATGGTTCTCTTCATGCTCATTCAGATTTCTGACTACGAAATGAAATTGATGAATTTGGATCAAGAGCATTTGGGCATTCCGGAAACAAACTATGCATGCATTGTTCGTATGCCATCCATGGAATTTGCTCGCATTTGCCGTGATTTATCACAATTTGGCGAATCAATGGTCATTGCATGCACCAAAGAAGGTAATAATTATTCAAACATAACCTCATTTCTTTGTTTCGATAGAATTGCATATCATTGTGAAATTCAAATACGAATCACTTCAAGTGATCTGATTTGTTTATTGATTTTGCCAAAGTGTTAGTTTATTTATCGTTTCAATGCAATGTTTGTGTTTTTCTCTTTGAATAGGCGTAAAATTCTCGGCAAGCGGTGATGTTGGTGCAGCCAATGTAAAACTCGCTCAAACCTCATCGATTGACAAGGAAGAAGAAGCTGTTATCATCGAAATGCAAGAGCCAGTTACATTGACATTCGCATGCCGATACTTGAACTCATTCACAAAGGCAACACCATTGTCGACTCAAGTGCAGCTCTCAATGTCAGCTGATGTGCCGCTAGTTGTAGAATATAAGGTTCAAGATTATGGTCACATTCGATACTACTTGGCACCAAAGATCGAAGATGACGAAAGTTAAACACAATTTACTGAGCGTGCGCTCCTGCATATCTCAAACATTCGCCTAATATTTTACACCCATTACTCACATATACCTTTTTTTTATTTTTCCAATTTCCAATCGCCAAATAATTCAGTAATAAGAACAAACAGACCCATTCAAACCTTATCTGCGTAAAAAATAGAATAAAAAATACATAATAAGTTTATTCACAATTGAGCAGATAAAATGAACACCGTACGAATTAAATAAATCAAAGTTTTTGGAACGACTAAAATCGGTTTGTGTGTGTATTCTTTTTATTTTATTCTTAAATATCACTTTTATTTGAGTCAAACAAAAACATTGTTTGTATGCGATCTACATCACATTCATCAAGTTCTTTAACTTATACTTGTGGTCTTTGGCCTCTTTCAATTAGGTACTCATGTACTCGACGCTATCATTTTACGCATATGGATTGGTTGTAGCCACTTAAAAATCTGATAATCAAAATGAGATTGTTTAATCCAAACATGAGCCAATATTTAAATTTTTGTCTTTTGGCTAAGGAATCTTTTTAATTTAGGAATTTTTACTTTTGGAAATGTTAACAATTCTGATTGAAATTTTATATCGTTTCCCATGTCTGATTTGGCCCATTAATTATTGGCATGCAATAAAAAAAAATCGCGAAAAATTGTAGCCGATAAGAGCAAAGTACTACTGTAAATCAATGTCGATTTTGATGGCATGATATCAATTGATTACATTCAATTTCATACTCAATTGTTGTCAAATTCAATGTGATTGAACAACTGTTCACAGCAATTTCAGACAAAGGAATTTTCTTTTTAGTCATAATGAAACGTGCTTCGTTTTAATCAAAAGTGTACTTTTTCTGTTCAAATTTTCTTTTCTCTTTATTTTGCTGGCATTTCATTTTATTGTATCGTGCACCAAATCGGTTTTATTATGACGTATAACAATGGAAAAATACAAGTGGAGAAAAAAGGGATAACGTTTGGTGAAAAATTAAATAATGGATACAATCCAATGATTGAAGGTGTACGTTGGACCGATCGCTATGCTATGCAATTAGAAAAAATTTGGCAATATATTCCAAATTGGTTGGGTCAAATATTTGTCGCTATCGCTGTATTTATATTTGCCTCTGGCATACAAGGTATTTTCGAATTTTACAAATTTAAACCGACCTATTTTTGAAGTTTTTTTCCACATTTTTAGCATAGATAAAAAAAATATATTTTATTAAGGAACTTTTTGTGCAGGGAATTTTTAATGAATTGGTTCGTGGTTACTACCTACGTGAAAAAGTAGTGAACTCCATGATTGAAATGGAAAAAATTAGCTGTTTGTTATCAAAATTAATTGAGTTCGATAATTCATTGTTCTCTTCGATTGTCGATTATTAACCCTCTAGTGCATAGCCCTTTAATAAATTATTGTCTAAAGTATATAATAAAAAACAAATGATTCTATTTATGAATTAAAATATATTCAGCAGGATTCAGGCTTCCATTTGCCGGTCATTTGACAAGTGAAAATAAAGCGGTTGTTTAATTATACACGCAGATGTAGGCGAAAACAGAAATATGACAAAAAAATTATCTCTCTCTTCGTTTATAGCAATTTTATAGCAGTTTAAACAATGGTTTCGATTGTTCTCCAATTTTGTCAATAGCATTTTTTGAGTAAACTATGCAATTTCTTGAATTTCGATTATTTTTTTTAACAAACTTTAAACCGAAATAATCAAAGAAAAATAGTTCGCATGTTGAAAAAAAATTAATGCCTTAGAGGGTTAAATATATATTATACACACATGGAAAAAATGTTTAGATTTTTGTTTGAATTCTCGTTTTTTTTTTTCAAAATATCAACAGAAAATTGGAAATCAATAAACAAAATAGATGTTTTCGTGTGTGAGTTTTAAATATCTAAATTTTTGTTGATATTTGTAAAAAAATTCGATTATATCAATAAATATCACGTGTAAAAGTAGTGTAGATAATTTTGTAAGCCAGCTGTGTTTTTTTTATCAGGTGACTGGATATCGATTGTTGTACATTTGTTCAAGCATATTGAACTACACAATCAGAATTATGTACAAAACGAAACAGCGGCAGAGTCGAGTGGTTGGTGGACCAAAGATAAAAATGGTTCACTGTTATTTTTTATGACTGTTGCAACAACGTCATCATACGCCATTTATTTTGGAATCGGTGGATTTTTGCATGTAAATACGGAAACTATCTAGAAAAATGTAATCAAATTTAAAAATGTTTATTTTTGTTTAAATTCAAAAAAAAGTGGTTCTATTATGTACGGCAACGCGATAAAAGTCACGAATGGAAATGTCAGCCCGAGAAATTTATGTCACCAGAATTGGAGCGTCATGAAATAATGATTGGATCATTGTCGTTGATGGTTGTAAGCAGTATGTCTGGTATCATTTCTTGGTATGCGGCTAACGATGGAAGATACTTAAAATTATATTATCGTCTTGATGAATATGGATATGTTTGGTTATTCTTACAAGCTCCAATTGTGTTCATGTATCAAGTTAGTTCTCAAACAAATGTTACGTGCTTCGGAAAAAAACATATTTTTACAAATTATTTTTCTAGGATTATTTGACGTATCTCACACATCGATTCTATCATTATCCACTTATGTATAAATGGTTTCATAAATTACATCACAAATATAAGCAACCAACAGCATTTTCTGTGTCGGCCATTCACCCGGTGGAAATACTGAATGTACAATTAATTTTAGCATCACCGATGCTTTTGGTTCCAGTTCACTGGAGTAAGATATCGGCGCTGAGTGTACGCATTCGATTTTGATTTATTTTTCTTTGCAGTTTTATTCTACATTATTCTTTTCTATACTTACTATCATGGAATAATTGATCATTCTGGAATCACATTCAAAGCATATTGGTGGCAACCATGGCAACCGGATGCTATTTTTCATGATAATCATCATCAGTATTTTCACGTAAATTATGGATTTAATATATTCATTTGGGACAAGGTAACTATAGATACAACAATTATACTACCCAAGGAACAATTGTAAGCGCAAATCACCCATTACCAGGCCCAAGTTTACGGTCGAATTTGGGGTAGCATTCGTGTGTAGTTTCAGTCAATTTTACCGTCGCAATGGAAAGAAAAAAAGAAAAGAAAGCACAATTCAATTAGACTGATATGAAAAAAATTGACTTGATTCATAATCATCATTATGCTATTGTATATGCAATAGACTCCACTTACCGAGTACAATTTATACCAAGAGGTACTCGTACTTTGGCAAGGCCACAATTTAATCAAGCCTAGCGAACTAACAAATAATTGTTATAAACTAATTTCTAAATTTAGTATTGTTTGAATGTTGTTGAATGAGGGCTGCTACTACTGCGGCTGCAGATGTCCATTGTTGACATTCTGATTCTGACCTCGATACAACGGCAATGGCTGATTGTTGTCAACACGGCGTGGTCTCCGTACATTTGGATGAATTGTCCGCTTGAACACCACGCATTCACCTACCGAATGATACATAACAAAAACACATTACATGTATAACAATTGCTTCAAAATTTGTATCAATTTCAATTGATTGCATACCTTTGTAGAGGATCAGCTTCGCTGCTGCGATATCACGGTGCCATACAGTTGTGAGCGTTGGTTGTGCTCCGGCAGCTCCCTCGATTTCAACGTTTGCAACATTTGGTAGCCATATTTTGAAGAAGCGTTGCTTCTTTGACACCAAACGACCTGCATTCGGTCCATCTCGAAGAGTTGCAGCAATGACATCGCCTATATCACGCATCTCGCGCCACATTCGTTCAATTGTTCGTCGCATTTGTAGTAATCGTTTGCTCACATTGGTTACGATGGTTCGTGGTAGTCCAACAATTGGATTTGGTACACAACCCACACATTTCTTGTATCGATCACGTCGAGTTTCTTGTGGAAATCGTTTGAAACACAATGGACAATGTTGTGATGTCATGTACTCATCGACCATTCGAATGATGCAATTGCCACGTTTCATAATGGCCGCAAGCAGCTTCCGTGTGCCTGGACATCGCACATGTTTCTTGATCTTAATCGGCGAATTAGCTGGTGTTGATCCGCTGGCTCCCATGTAGAAAATTGATGGTTGATTGTGAACCATTTTGCATGCCGTTTTGTCGATTGCACGAACCGATTCGATATGCTTGTCCAGTCCCAAGCGTGCATACTGTTTGGTTGAGTATGTTTCAATGCCATCATTCATTACACGTAATCGATGTTCAATGTACGAACGCCATGATGGTCCTTTTGGCGATGGCATTTCACCAATCATAGCTGCAATTCGATTACGATCGGCTTGCTCTTCGAAAGTAAACAATCTTGTGATTCGTTCGGCTTTTGCATTACGTCGGCCTTGTTTCGCATCCCAGTGATATCGCTTGCTGGATATACGCAAATTCACCTAACAAAATGAAAACAACAAAAACAACATTGTATTCACAATCACAATCGCTTTCATTCATTATTAAATGACAAATTTACCTCTTCTTTGGTATGCAAATCTCGTCGTACGGAAGCGTTCCACGTTCGCATACCCGGATCACATCCAACAGCATATTTCAACTCATTGCTGTCATACATTGCCTTGATTTCGTCATCTGTTGTCTCGACTGGTGGTACTTTCGGTTTTTTGTACATCAACGATACAGATACGCCATCGGAACAAATTTGAGAATCGAATTCCTTTTTGTTGTGCACAAGTTTGAGAATTTTCTCCACATCGAAGAATAAATTCCAACTTAGGATTTTATTTGTGCGGAATTCGTTGCTCGTGATGTTTTTGAA